CAATGGACCACTAGACAAGGTACGAATTTCAGCATTCTGATACATGTTTCTTAACCAAAATTTCACGTAGAACACGATGCGCATAACAAAATTTACCGCAATCAACTCCTTACGAAGATATTTAATGATTCTTGATGCGTGAATTCAAACCACCCGCTCATAAAAACTCAATGCTCTACGTGATTCACATCGCGCGCTAAACGTTATCATGACAGTCTCTGCGATATAAAAATCTGGCTATCTCAATCTTGACGCTTTGGCTCAGCTATAGCAAATTGCTAATAGTTTGAACAACACATGGGGGGAAATGAATATTGCTCGATTGAGAAGCTTGCTGAAACCGTGTAGTGCGCGATTTGACTCACGTAGAGCTTTGAGTTTTTCGTGAGCGGGCAGTTCAAATTCCTCGTAACCAATGTGAAATGAAAACGTTAATAATTGCTTAAATTCGTACCTTGTCTAGTGGTTCATTGATCCAGCGCCTAGGATCTACTACTATAATTTCGACTACTATTTAGGATTCAACACTAATCTTGAGATTTTTCTTCTTATCGAAGATCGAGAAAAATCGACAGTGGTACCATGGCGTGAATGGGGCTGTTTTATGCAAACGATACAGCAGACTGAATACACTTTTATAGGATGAATTTGCTCAAAATATTCGCACTTTGGGCTCATCAAAAAATTCCGAAATCCTCTCCTTAGCAAGCAAACTGCGAAGTTTGTAACCAGCTTTTTCAAGTTTCCCACGTTTCCGGGCAGTTTTTCTCAGTCTCCGCGCCGACCAGGTTTGCACAGGCAGAAGAGTGAGAGGGAACTATCTAAATTAATCAAATGATTGACTAACTTTTTCTTTTGTATGATTTAATTTATATTGAAGCGTTTGTTTCCTTTTTCTTTCTCTATTTTTCAAAAACGAGAGCTTTGAATCAATTGAACTCTTCCACAAGGAGAGTTTATAATATATGTAGTTTGTTCAATGTCTTTGTATGGTTTGCAAGATTGTTAGCTTATTTAGGATAGGTCGCTCTTCGGGCAGACCTGACTGTCAGCCACCAAGGTTGCCACCAGGAAAGACTGTCCGCATAGCCGTCCAGAGAGAACTTTCGATTTTGACCCTCAAAAATTAGTCCATGTCGATGTTAGTCGATTTTTCTCCGTTTTCGAGGAAGGAAAACATTTTTGAGAAAAGA